TTTTCCCATAGCATCACCTGAAAGCATCAACATAAAATGTATACCCAGAAGTGCTGTATGATGTCAACAAACTAGAGCCATATACAACAGACCTGCCTATGAAACAGTGATATTAGAAATGCTACATGCCATCCATAATGCCATGCTCGATTATCTACATCTTTGTATTACCACTGAAGGCAATTTGTTTTAAACATGCTCTATAATAAAATAATACTCTTTTTTGTATTAATTTCTGTAATGTTGTCTTTATCCTTTACAGTCAGAGAATATTTGTATGTTATGCTAAATTGTCTTAAATTGATTCCCTTTGTTTATTTTAACACTGGAACATCCACCAAATGCTTACTCAGGCAATGCTAGAAAGATATTTGCCTCTTAACAGATGTTTAAATAGACATCCTGTATATTTCTTTCGTAGAATTCATATTAAATTTTTAACATCTATCTTGTTTGTTAGTAACTTTGTAAAACATTTGTTTTTCATGTTTACATTTACAAAAAAAAACATAAGCACAAAAAACAAGTGCTTCACAAATAAGCAATCAATCACTTATTTTTCATTTCATTCAAAGTAATCATATTAGTTATTTATATTTATTTAGATGGAAAGTGTTTAACAGCNATTCAAAGTATAGAATAGAAACAGAACAGTTACAAAATTTAACATTTACATTTTATATTTTTATTAAGAATCTGTTTGTTTCCTAATTTTTATTTATTTAAAAAATTCATCATCTGAAAGAGCTTTTTTTTAAGATAGTGTGTGATTAATGAAGCAATTTACATATGAATAGCCATGAATTTTTGTTATTAGTCACAAAAATAAATATGCAATGAGAAAAAATTCAAAAGACTATAAAATTTCCTATCAAACAAAGCACACATGCTAGACAATGATATTGTACTCAGCAACCAAATAAAACATAGCTGGTAAAAGCATAGTAAGATGTTGGATGCAGGTGAAGGACACAATTGTGAGGCTGAGGCATCTTCAGTCATACAATTTGTACTCAAATTGAATGCCACACATGCATCTTTAGCACTGAAAGTGTTATTCAGTGCAAAGTGTTATCCAGTCACCAGCTGCTTGCTTTGAATCCAGTATGTCCAATCTGTTGTCCAAATTGGAAAACTTCTTAGAGAAAAAGCTGAACATTAACAAGGATATTCTTGTCTTTACACTACATAAACTACTTCAACACACTTCCAGCATTATTTTCTGTTTGGTCTAATTTTGTAGTTCAATGAAGCTTTCCAAAATCCTCTCATTGTTTTTCAGATATAGCATACTCAATGGAACATCCAATTCTTTCACATTTTCTGATTTTTGCTTTATTGATAATCATTATTCATAATCATGCTTAATTACCAGGTCTTTATGATAGATAGAACAAAAGATATCAACAGAATCTTTAGCTCTTTCTTGTTTGCCATTTCTATCAATTTCAAATTGAAACTAATGGATTATGATGCTGATAATGATGCTGATAATAATTGTGAGTGACATTCAGTCACTCACAATTAACCCTTGGTGATCCTATAGGCAAGTTCTCTCCATCATTTCTGATCCTGAATGTGACCTTTAGCTGGCTGATGGTCATTCCAGCAACCATTTTGATGGTATCAAGCCAGCACATTACGTTCTCTGGTGACAGGGTCCTGTCTTACCACCAAGGGCAAGGCTCACTTATTTTGACCATGGCCATGTAATTGCATTGCAATGCAATTACATGGCCAAAATAAGCAAGACAGGTTATTCTATCTTCTAAAGATATGTCTAGTTTTATGCAGTCTAGAATTTCTCTGTTTGTTACCCTATCTGTCCATGGTATTGAAAGCAACTTCCTCCAGCACCACTGTTTGAATGCATCTATCTTTCTTCTATTGGCTCTCTTTACATTTCAACTCTCACATCTGTATATGACTGTCGGAAAAATAAGAGCCTGGGCAAGCCTGCATTTAAGTTGTTATCTGAATGTTGTGTCTTTGCTCTTCCAAATTTTTAACATGGTTAGCAATGCACTTCAACCCAGTGTAATTCTTCTCTTAAAATCCTGGTCACATTCTATGGTTTAATTATCTATTTATATTTAAATCTGGATTGTTTTAGCTATTGCCATGACCTTAGTTTTTTTAACATTCAGATGGAGTCCCTTTCTTTCACTTTCAACTTTGACCTTTAGTATCAGCAATCTCATGACATTTTCTGACTCTTCAAGCAGGTTTGTATCATCAGCATAACAAAGATTATTGATGTTTCTGCCATCTATTTTAACTGCTCACTATCAGCAATGGAAATACCAACATGTAATTCAAAATTTATAAAATATGAATGTTTAGTTCCAATAAGGAGATATAATAGTGTCTTGTACTTTGAATTAAATTTGTTTCTGGAGGCCATTTAAATTCTAAATTGTCCAAAGTCCAAATCAATTTTCCTCATTAGAAATAATGGAAAATGAATTAATCCATTTCCAGACCAACTTCAATAAATTTTAACAGCAAATGCACATAATTTATGGTAAAAATAGCACAATTAAATTCCCTAAATAATAAATTAAAACATGAAAACAAATAAATACTATATAATAAAATGAAAATTGCATTTACTGTATTTTAGTGAAGTGGTGATGTCCCATTTCTTAAGCTCACTATGCAGCTTGCTTGGCTTTCTCTGAGATGGTATCACTAACCATTTATTACTGTTCTTAAGAATGAATGATGCACACTGTTGACATGGCATCTTAAACATAGCCTCCAGATCTGCCACACATGTACACTTTCATGCTTTGTGAAAAGTTCCTTTTTCATCTCAATTGTTGGGCTGTAATTTTAAAAATTGCAGATCTATAAATTCCCACTGGCATGTGTCTGTCATCTGTCCTTCTTTAAGCTCAAGAATAGAGTTAGATAGATGAAAGTTGAGATCAGAAATGGAAAGCTTAGCAGCCAGAGGCCCCAATTAACTATATATGAACTTCCAGTTTAGACTGGAAGTCACATTATTTTATTTCAAACATTTTCTCCAGAATAAAGTTAGATAGATGACCAGCATGACTCTTGTTAACAGGAAAAGTATGATGTACAGGGGCAAGGCATTACTAAGATCAAAAGCATTGTGCATCAGGATCTATAAAATTGCAGCCTGGCATTGTGACAATGTCACAATAAATAATTGCTCACTGATATTGATGCTATAATCTTCTGTTAGGCTTCATTGCTTCCACACTCTTCTTGAATACCGTGGTTAATAAACAGATAAACAGGGGTTATATATAAAGCATAAAGCAAAAAAAAAAAAGCACCAAAGAACACACAAGCATAATGCAAAAGATACTTTCACAGCAAGAGCAAGATGCACAACAAATGGCATTTACAGAGTGAGTGCATTTTTTCACTGTGCATGCAATTTGAACATAGAAGAATCATTCAACCTCTGGATTGAATCTCTCTCAAATTTAGCATTCAAAATTAGAATTGTTCAAAGATACATATAGATGAAACCATAAAATTTGAGTGGCCAATAACTTAGAAAGTTATGAAATCACAAATGTGTTTGTTACATTTTAAATTTTCAAAATCTAAAAATTTTTAAAATAAATTTTTAAGTGCTAAGATTTGATTGGTCGATTTGTGTTTAAGATTTTTAATATTTTGTGCCTAAAGTAACATTTTGAATTTTTGTTGTGCAATCATAGGTGTAATTCTATACTATACTAATCTTCAACTATCATCATCCATCTGCTTAAAAGCTTCAAAAATGATACAGTAGAGCATCGATTATGCAAATACCGATCAATCGAAGCAATCGATGCATCAGTTAACCAAAAGCATTCCAGTCAGCAAATTCAAATTTCTGCTAGTTCTGTCATTGTGGCACTCTCTCCCTCCCTGCCAACCTAAACTGTAGGCCTACTTTAATGTACTACATTATGTAAGATATGAATTTGTAAGACGTATGATACAAATTATATACAGTACAGTTTTGTGTTTAATATATTTTTTCGTAAATGATCAGTTATCCAAACAACCTCAGTTCCAAATTGTTTTGGATAAGCGATGCTCTACTGTACATGAAATAAACTCTCTGAATCTTAAATTTTGAGTGGCTTCAACATTACTTTGACTTATAAAAAACAGAGTGCATTAATTCTATGGGAATTATCTCAGGTCAAAAATAAAATTTGAGTTAAGGAAGCTTGACTTATTGAAAGTACATATATAATTTATGTGTACATAAATTATATATGTACACATAAAATATGTATTTTATGTGTACATATATAATTTATTTTCATTCTCTTACCATTTTTTTTAAATGGATATCTCCGTAGCATAGTAAAGAATCTAAAAAATGAAATTTTTACTACAATGAATAATATAACTTTCCATATTAATCTTTCTTCATTATCTTTAAATACACTAAGTTAATATTAATCTTTTGCATTCTCTTCTAATTAACCAAATGAAAAGAACTTTTCTTAAGATATTAAATGATAAAAACCACTTTTAATTTTTGAGTAGAAAATGAGAATAAATGGAATTGAGATATGAATAAAATTATAGACTATTCTTAGAAAAATAATGAAAAAAAATTTTTTAAAGGAACTGATAACAGTATCATTTGTCATATTAGCTAATTTCTAGTAAACATTTTCCTAACTAGAAATTAGCTACAATTATCAACATTATATAACATTTAAAATTTAAAAAAGTAATTTTTTTTAATTATTTTTTATTGTAGAAATTTGAAAGTTATTTATGCTTACAAAGACATTAGTTTAGTGACTCTAAATGACATTCTTTTTATTTTTTATCCAGGCCATTAGTTCAGACTTAAAATAATAATACATGTATTCTATTCTGACTAATCTTAAAAATTTATGTAAAAACAATATTAATAAAATGTAATTGAATTGCTTAGTAAATTTTATTTATTTAAAAAATTAATATCTTATAGTAGATATTTATCCACAAAGCATTTTCTTATTTTCCAGATAACTAAAATTGTTGATAAGACATTGAATGCATTAAAAGAAATCAAAATTGAACATAAAGAAGAATTAGTGGTTCCATTTATTTTAACATGACTAAATGCAATAATAAAAGATTTTTGTTGATGAAAGCAAAATAAGATTTGTATCATTAACTACAAACCTATCTTCTTTTTATCAAAAGAAGTTTTTTTATAGTGATGAATTTAATATTTTTTCACCTATATAATTTGCTGTCAGATCTTACAAATAAAAATGAATTTATAAATTCTGTCTCATTTTCTACATACATTTCATGTATTGTTTATATTCAAAATAAAATGAATAGCATCCAGCTTTAGTAACATTTCCATAAAATAAAATTAAAAAAAAAAAATTATAGAGCAAGGGATGAACAAGTAATTTTTAAAATTTTATTTTATTTTTGAAAGATAAAAATCTATAAAATTAACTGCATAATTAATGCTACTAACAAATATAAAACAGATTAAATCAATTCAAACTTCAGAAAGTTGATTTATATATAATGTTAAAATTATGAAAATATTAGTTTTGTTACTATTCAAGTTTATGTAGTAATTAACAAAAGCAAAACAACTCACCATTTAAATTATAAAACAAAATAGTATATTAAAGAAAATGTTTACATTTTTGTTTTTTATTAGCTAAGTTAAAGAATTTGCACTTTTTCAATATTCAGTTGAATTATCTTTTTATATAAAATAGTTCATAAGAATATTTACAATAGATATGACTTAATGAGTTCAAACAAATTTAAAATTTGACAAAAACTATTTGATTAAATTAGACAAGGTTTAAAAGTTTATTCTTAACAATAATGAAATAAAAGAACAATAGCAATATACAAATTATATTTCTAAAACTTGCTAAAACTGTATCATCATAAATATTGAATGTAAAAGTAGCAATGCAGAGTGAATTGATACTTTTACATTGTGTGATTAAACAATTACAGCAATAAAAAACTTAACACAAATATTGTAAAAATTTAATTACTGCATTAATTCAGCTAAAGTTTTAATGTACAGCAGCTAACAAATAACAGTTCATAGTTATCTGCCATATACAAATATATATGCAGTAGAACTGCAATTAACCAAGTTTCTGCATTAGCCAAGACAAACCTGTAAGTGAACAAACACCTTTTCTTATAATGTAATTCATTAAAAAAAGTTTAAAAAATGTAATTATTATAATAAACATTTTTACTCTTAAAACTAATGTTCATGTATTAGCTGTATAATAATGTAAAAATTTTGTTCTTTAAATACGATTAAATTCACTACAGTGTAAAAAAAATTAAAAATTCTACCATGTAAATCTAATATTTAATTTTTAATCTGAAGTGGTCAAGAATGTCTATTCTATCTGAGTTTTCAGTTATCTGAGGTAGCATTTGTCTACAATATCTCAGATAATCAGGATTCTACAATATATATATATATATATATATATATATATATATA